AGAGGTATAAGCGTCTGAACAGGCATGCGTTTCATCATAAACGGTTGGGGATTTTCAGTTATACTCACCTGTAAACAGCCGTTTTCGGCATCCTCAATGCGACTCGTAGAGCTAGTACCGAGCGGGACAGAACCAATCAGGACAGTACTTGATCGGAAGTCCGGAGGGGGGTTGAGACAGCGGCGAGAAAAGGTGACCGCACCCGTTGGCGCGCCGTCCTCAGCGAGCACTCGCGAGAAGTAGTGGAGAATGCAGATGACCTTCTGAACTTTGTAACTGGGCGCTGCAGCGCCGGCATGCTCGGAAACACTGGCAAAACCAGACAAATCCAAGTAAAGCATCTTAAATTCCCAGCATATCCGCCTTTCTACATTATAACTCAAATGGATTACTTAGGTTCACCTTTGAGGGAAGTTGCCATAAACACAAATTTGAATTGTTCCAAATCCAGGCAATGGATGTGGAGGATGCTATTTTGATTATAGCAACTGTAATTGCTGAAAAATCAGTGAGCTTTCTTGACGTCTTATGAGTGTTTAGCGGAAATATGTGCGGAAGGAGTCGAACGCTGCGCTCATATACATCTCTAGGCGTCTTGCTTTTGTATTGTCGTCGACACATGAAAGGTGTGAAAATATACGGTTAAGATTGATGATATGAAATGCACATGTAAGCCACAACTCTGGCCCTGGTCGTTAGTCACTTTAGGCATTGATTACTATTTAACAATTACCATATTACCCTAAGAGCACAATGGGGTTTTATTCTTCGGTGAGTTGGTGGACAATTCCTGTGCATAACCACACGCAAGAGAAGTTCTTCTGACTAAAGCAGACCTTTTGCGTTCTTCCATTCGTGTTGAGTAAACCATTCTAGGCCAGGTACTACAGAGAGCGAAGCAAATGCGTTACGACGCTGGCAACCTCCTTTACAGAAATCTAGGCTGACATGTTCCCCCTAAGTGCCGACCTCACCACTGTGAGGTTTGAGCGCAATCGTCAGCTAGCAACCGGCCAAGTCACGGCGCATTGGGCCTCGCGATAGTCCAATGATAAATGCAGAAGCTTTACGAATTAATTGGCCTAGTCGGACGAGGCGAATGCAAATTAAAAAAATAATTAATTAGATAACAGACGCATTAAAAAAAGCCAGTTAGAAAAAACTTACGGGTTATGAAATAGAGTATTAAAGTTTACGGAAGGAAAAGAAGGCTGTGGGGTTCTTTCGTTAGTGCCACTACGTCCAGGGAAGGTGCAGTAGAAGGCATTGGCCAGTAGGCAGGCGATTTGAATTTGGCTGAGGGAAATACTCGATTCCTGGTTTTGTTTCATCAGAGGAATGGGCTGAAAGGAC